GGAATGATGCGTGTGCACATGTGTGTGTGTGTGTGTGTGTGTGTGTGTGTATCTATACATAAGAATCTTAATAAAAGCATGAAATTGCAAGAAAAACAATATTAAAGACCGAAACAAAGGAGTTAGATTTAATGTAAAGGAAATATTACCAATGCAAAAATCATTTGATGGTTCACTGGATGGCTTAGTGTTGGAGAAAGCTGGGAGGTAGGAAGAGGAAGGGGAAGGTTTGCTTATTAAGATTTTCAAAATAGGGACTTGAGAGGGCTCAGTGATTAAGAGTGCTGGCTGCTCTTCCAGCAGACCTGTGTTTGGTTCCCAGCACCCACATGGAGGCTAACAACCTTCCATAACCCCAGTTCCAAGGGATCTGATGCCCTCTTCTAGTCTCTGTGGTACACTTACATGCAGGCAAAACACTCATATACATAAAATAAAAATAAATTTAAAAAAAATTTCAAAATAGCATTTAAAAAAAAAACATCTGATTTGGGGTGTAGCTCAGCGTTAAGAGTGCTTTCCTAGTATGTGCAAGGCCCCAGGTTTAGTCTTCATCAATGCAGAGGGAGGGAGGGAAGGGAGGAGGAAGGGACACAGGGAGAGAGAGAAACACATATGCATACATAACACAGAGAGAGAAGAGAAAGAGAGATGGAAACACACACACACACACACACACACACACAGAAACATTGTGACTAATGAGACTCTGTCCCCAAGCATACTGGATATCCATCTAAATTATATTTGTCCTTTTAAGTAGTCACTTGGAAAGACTAAACTATTACAGTGATGCTATTAAAAATGACTTGAGAAGTTCCCTTGGCAATTGCTTTCAGAACATGTTTGTGAGCTACAAATCATCAGCTTTATTACCTTAGTTTTCTCTGGCTCTGCTTCTCCATATAGGGTGAGAACATTAGATATGCATATAAAATGCATTCCATTAAAATTTGGCCAGATGGAAATTTCTTCTATAAATTAAGAATATATGATACATTGGTTTTATCTATTTTCAAAAATAATACAATCTGGAGAGGGTTTCTCAGGAAGATTTCACTGATGGTTGTGGAACAAGTGCTCCAGACTCCAGTGGTGACCTTCGAAGAGGCATTCCAGCATTCTGAGCAACCACAGCATTGGAGCCTCTGCAGGAAGCCGTTGGCTGAGAGACCATGTTTTCCATGTATATACACATACATTCTGAGAATTTCTTTTTTATCACTGTGGTTGGAAAAGTTGTTATATGACAGCTTGTGGTCTGCAGGGGTGTCTGGCATATGATTCTAAGGCAGTCACTCATAATCAGAACATCTCCCTAAATCACTCATAAAGACCTAACCAAATTGTGGAGGAAAGGGTGAAATTCCTGATACCATCAAAAACTAAGTCAGACAGCCAAATGACAGAATCTGAAGAGGGTTGTGCTTCTGCACACAGCATAGCTTAGCGCTGTTGTACAAAATCAGTGTCCTTTTTCAGAGGAAAGAAAGTCCTTCTTTTACTGGGGCCAGCAAGAAACTCAGGGACCAGAAGAGAGATTAGTCAATAAATTGCTTGCTTCACACTTGTAATCCCAGTACTAGGGAGACAGAGATGGGCAGATTCCTGGGGCTCAATAACTAGCCAGCCAAATTGGTGAGCCTCAGGTTCCAATGAGAGATTCTGTTTCAAAAAACAAGATGGATGATGCCTTATAAAGAACCATTCCCAAGTTTGTCCTCTGACTTACACACACACACACACACACACACACACAGACAGAGAGAGAGAGAGAGAGAGAGAGAGAGAGAGAGAGAACCTTTTCTATATTGAAGTGCACATGAGTCCCTCCCCTAATGATGACCCAATTCTCAGGTGTTTCCCTTGCTCCTGCCTCCAGCCCACTTTATCTCTTAAAGATTAGCTGCCCACTGATGTCTATCTTTTATGGATTAACTGCATATCAAAGTTAGCTAGGAATGCACACACCCTCATTTTTCAAACTTTCTGTAGTTTCAAGTTGAGGGTGCTTGCCAGACTTGCTGAACACAGGCACAAAAACACACAAGTCACTTGAATCTACACACAAATTTTGATCCTTTGTGTTTTCAGATCCACTGACCTGCAGGTCTTGCCCACCCATGTGAATGAAATAAGCTATGCAAAGCCCATACTCCAGAAGAAAATGTTTAAAAAAAATGCATGCCGGGCGTGGTGGTGCATGCCTTTAATCCCAGCACTCGGGAGGCAGAGGCAGGCGGATCTCTGTGAGTTCAAGGCCAGCCTGGTCTACATAGTGAGTTCCAGGACAGCTGGGGCTACAGGGAGACCCTGTCTCAAAAAGAGAAAAAAAAAAAACAAACAAAAAACAAAAACAGAAACAAAAAAACCTCTTGGCAACTGAGTCATCTGCTTGTCTGGGGCCCATGTATACATATACAATGTATTGTGCTCATATTCACCAGTCCCTTATTCCCAGCATTCTGACCAATTACGAGGCTCTGCACTAACCATGTCCCACTGTAAAAAGAAGCTTCATTGACCAAGACAGAGAGCAGCACAAGTTGTTATGTATAAGCATACTTAGAAAGCAGTTTGACTTCATGTCGTTACGAAAACACCGGTAGTAGCTCACCCCCTAGCACCTGTGACCTCCCCAAACAGGCTTTTGACCTGGTTTACAGTACCAGGCATGAATTTCCTCATATGGAGTAGGCCTCAAAGCCAAGCAGAAAGTAATTGGTTACTTCCCTTATACTCGTGCCACTATTACACCTTGCATCTTGCCCATCTGCCTTGCTTTTCATTGACTCTGTGGGGCAGCAGGGAACCAAACCTTGTGTGGTTACATTAGTTCTCACCTTGTGCATATCTACATGAAACAGGAGTTCATTGCTTTTTGTTAATTGGCAAGAGCACCTTGCTGTGCTCCAAAACAGTTTATATATTGTAGGAATTAATCCTTTCCTCTCTTATTTCCCAGTTGTGTTGGCACAAGATTGTTCAGTACTCCCACGACAGCGAGTAGGCATTGCCTCTAGACTCCATTCCAATCTGATATGAAGTGGCATGGCATGCTGGGCGGAGCAGTGTTGAGTGCAACACTGCATTCCTCAGGGATCAATAGCTGCCAAGAGCAAGTGGTTTTTACTCTTCCGATGACTTGCTCATTCTTCCAGCACTCATATAGGTGAGGCCCTTGGAATCACTTCCACTTAGGACCTACAACACTACACTATGCTTATGATCTAGAGATTTGGGTTGCATCATGAGACTCCCTTAATTTATTCTAAATGGTACCTGGCTGAGTTCCTTAGAGCATGCAGCACAAAGCCACTTTCCTCGCTTTTGGTTCTTTTGTTCACTCAGGTTTGTGTTGGCTTCATGTAGGGTTTTGGTGTTAACATGCCCTTTGCCATCATTTTCCTTACAAGTCTTCAAAGACAGTTTCATTTGAAAACGTCTATGAACAAATAATTTTTAAGGAATTCAGGATTTAAAGGTTCAGAATTCATTTAGCAAATGAAATAATTGTGGAAATTTAGGACATTTCATAAAAGAAAAAGCTTGCCCTATGAGACAGTAAACTATATCATAAGCCTGCAGAAAATAGACTGATACCAGTGCTGCAACAGACAACTAAATGGAAGTCCAGAAGCACATTCACAAACACTGATGAGGTTTCCACAGAAGCCTAGGATTCTATGGAAACTGAAAATTCTGGTCCCAGGGTGTGAGGCTCAGGGGAGGCTAATGAGAGACTCAGATTAAGCAGCAGATCCTGCATAATGTTGAAATTATTGTGGGTCAAGAACACTCTTTCCCCATGGCACATGGCAGAAATGTGAGTATTCTTTCTAGAGGTCAGCCTGAGTTATATAGGAAGGTCCAAGCTAGCCTGGGCTATAAAGTCAAACTCTTTAAAAAAAATTAATCAGCCAGCCGTGGTGGCACATGCCTGTAATCCCAGCACTCGGGAGGCAGAGGCAGGCGGATCTGTGTGAGTTCAAGGCCAGCCTGGTCTACATAGTGAGTTCCAGGACAGCTGGGGCTACAGGGAGACCCTGTCTCAAAAAGACCAAAAAAAAAAAGAAAAATCCATCAATTAGTTGAATAAACAAACAAAAAATAATGTCTCACTGTTCCCAATGGCTCTCCTCAACCCTTGGCCCCATCCCTCTGAGGCTGCCAGAGAATGCCTGACTAGCCGGGACAAGTGTACCTTTCACCCCTCATCAAAGAAGCTTATTTTTTTGCAACAAAGGTAGACTTACAGAGTTCCAGAACAGTCAAATGCAGAGAATAAATGTCTGTGAGACACTTAACCCTAAGTGACACATCTTCGGTGCAGCCTCTACACACAGAATGAATGCATCTCTCAACTCCCACCTGAGAATTTTCCTTATACAACAGATGGTGATTAACATAGAAACACACAATTGGCCAATATGCTGAGAACAAGAGGCCACAGAGTACTTATCCTTGATTAGGACACCTGTTTCTAACCTCTCCCTCCCAAGGCTCAGGGACCATGCTGGAAGAGGTAGAAAGATTGTAAGAGCCAGAGGGGTAGATGACCACAGGAAATAGAGTCTTCCAGACAGCTGGTCAGATATTCATGTGAACTCTCGGCAATGGTGACAGCATACACAAGTCTTATCCAAGCTCAAACTAGGCAAAAATCCCAGCATAGACATGGGGAAGTGGGTAAGAAATCCCAACCCAACCTATAGAACTTTTGGCAACTGATGGCTGCTGGAAGGAGGAAAGACAGTGTCTTACAGTGATGGGACTCTTGGTGGGACCAGTGGATGGACCACACTGAAGGACATTTAAGGACACAAATCAGACTCTTATATATATAAAAGAGTATATTAAATTGGGAGGGGCAGTGGGGGAAGGTATGAATGGGGAGGGAATCTAAATACCATTGAACTATATTATATGAAAACTGCAAAAATTCAGCAAAAAATTTACATATATATATATATAGAGAGAGAGAGAGAGAGAGGAGAGAGAGAGATACATGGCAGGGGAGATACCATGATCAGGAAGGTGGTTTTCCCAAGGTGAGGCTCATCCATTGCACTCGAGATGTGCTGGCTCCTGTGATTTCCCCAAATTTGGGAAACTTGACTGCATAAGTTGTAGTGGGGAACTGCATTCTCACTCTCCCCTGAAAAAAAATAAAACATAAAAATATAGAGGTTATAAACTTAAATAGTATGTCTCTAAGCGAAAACATGTCTTATTAGACAGTCAAGATTTTTTTCTATGTTTCTTAGGTAATAATAATGTGCTGGCTCCTGTGATTTCCCCAAATTTGGGAAACTTGACTGCATAAGTTGTAGTGGGGAACTGCATTCTCACTCTCCCCTGAAAAAAAATAAAACATAAAAATATAGAGGTTATAAACTTAAATAGTATGTCTCTAAGCGAAAACATGTCTTATTAGACAGTCAAGATTTTTTTCTATGTTTCTTAGGTAATAATAGAGGCTCCAGATCTCAATTTATAACAGAATATGGCTTGAAGAATGATTATCATCTACAAAATGCTAATCCATTTTACTTGGTATTTTGTAAGCAGCTTATATTATAGGTATTTAATTATCATTGTTACCACCACCACCATCACCATTATCATCACCGGCGCTATCATGATCATCACCAATACCACCACCATAATCACTCAAAAAGACCCCACCATCATCATCATCACCATCATCATCATCACCACCACCACCACCATCATCCTTATTTTAAAACTGAGGTTAAGAGAGTTGTCATTATCCAAGGTCACCTACCAGAACCTTGCAGGGCTGGGATTCTAGCTGTCTTGGTGCTCTAAATTCTAAGTATGTCTGTATGTGTGTCTACAAGTAAATATCAATACAGAAAAGTGATCAAATTATCAGACCAGCTTCTGGGTGGTAAACCCCACTTCACTGTCTCTAGTTAAGAGATCACAGAAAGACCAAAATATAGGAATGAAAATCAAACACAAGTGTTTTGCTTCTTAAATGTCAGGGCAACACCCTAGTCTTCTGTTTTCCAAGTTTCAATGTGATTCATTTTATTTCCTGGCAAGTACATTTTCAGTATTGTGAGCTTTGAATAGGCATTTGTTTTAGGTGTATGTGTGTAAAAATAATTTGTAGTGTAGTTAATTTTTAATGGTTCCTGGCATTTGCTTTAAATAGTATTTTAGCCACAGGGAGAACTGAGCAGTAAAGAAGGTTTCCTCTTGAAACCACTAACGGAATGACTGCTTCCTTTCTCCAGCAATTAAATTCTCACATTTGGCTCCTCATTGGAGGCAATGTCTCATTTCATGTGATACTTAAATCTCTTTTTCTGTACAGTTACTAAAACCTCCATTATGCAAATCTCTCATGATTTTCTGATTCTTGCTCATTTTAGAGACCCCCTGGATTCCTTCTAATAGTCAACTCAAGATAATGATGGCATTTTGAAGAATATACTCTAATACATTAGGGATCTTGGTTGTCAGTCGTCAGTCAAAGCTCATGTGCACCAGCCTCTCACTGTGGGCTCAGAAGCCCTGGGACAGTGTTTTGCAATTTTTGTCACACATTTGAATCACCCGGGAGGATTTAAAAATACAGATACTTGGGAGTCGGGAGACCGCTCAGAGGGTAGAGTGCTTGCTGTGCAAACATGAGGACCTGAGTTTGGATCTTAACACCCATGAAGAAGCTGGGCATGGTCATGATATCTGTAACCTCAGCACTTAAGGGTAGGGGAAAGAGAGATAAGCAGACCCTGGGAGCTCAGTGGCCAGCCAGTTTGGTTGAATTGGTGAATTCCCGGTTCAGTGAGAGACCCTGTTTCAAAGAAAATAAGACGGATGCTGGGCGTGGTGGCATAGCTGGGAGTGGTGGCACACGCCTTTAATCCCAGCACTCGGGAGGCAGAGGCAGGCGGAACTCTGTGAGTTCAAGGCCAGCCTAGTCTACGTAGTGAGTTCCAGGACAGCTGGGGCTACAGGGAGACGCTGTCTCAAAAAGACCAAAAATAAATAAATAAGGTGGAGATGATAGAGGAAGATACACAGAGACCTCTGGTCTTCCATGCACACACATGTGTACACCACATACACACAAATAAAATAAAGGCAGATACTTATACCTCACATATAGAGATATTTGTTAATTGGTATATAGTGTTGAGATTAAACATTAAAGGTCTCCAGGTAATTCTTTTTTTATTTAAAAAATATTTTATTATTTTTATTTTTTGTGTACGAATGTATTACCTGTATGTATGTGAATGCATCCATGTCGTGCAATGCTGGTGGAGGAACTGGTGTTGTGGGTCCTGGGAACTGAACCCCGGCCCCGCTGCAAGAGCAGCCAGTGCTCTTAATTGCTGAGTCATCTCTCTAGCCCCGTCTTCAGGTAATTCTAATGCCCAGCTTCATTTGCTCCACCACCTCATGGTGCAGGCTTAGCCACTCTCCTGTTTGGGCAGAGCAAAAGGCAACAGGCACAGCCTAGAAAAAAACCATTGGTACCTTAGTTCTTGGGTATATTGTCCCTGCAATGTCTTGAAATCCAATGACAGCATCTCCCAGCAGCCTCTATCCTCAGGATCATACTTGTCAGAGAAAGAATTCATTTCATCATTGTTTGTACCAGTGAGGAGGGTGGAGTGACTTGATTAGTATTTTTAATCCAGCAGTGAAGGTTGAATAAAGAATACAGACACCTGGAGGCTGAAGAGATGGTTCAGTGGTTAAGAGCACTGGCTGCTCTTCCATAAGACCTGGGTTCGATTCCCAGCACCCACATGGTGGCTAAATAACTGACTATAATTCCAATTCTAGGGGATCAGATGTCTTCTTCTGGCCTCTGTGGGCTTTACACAACACAGATGTACTTATATACATGTAGAATTATACACATAAAATAAAAATAAAATTTTTAAAAGTGTTTTATTATTTTTATTTTATGTGCATGAATGTATTGCCTGTGTGTGTGTAAGTGCACCCGTGTCCTGCTGTAAGTTGAATTTACTGCTGGGAGGCTTTCACAAGGTTTCCAGGCCTGCTGTGGCTCCCTCCTCCCACTGTCCTTATGACCAACCAAGAAAATATTCCTCCAAACTACAGTTTAGGGAATAAAAATATTTATCGGAATTACTAACAGGGCATATGATAGCACTGAGGGGTTACTTACAAAGAATGAGCACCCTCAGGCTGTTTTTTTTTTTTCCCTACATTTTGGCAGCTTCCAGACCTGTGGCCCCTGGCCCCTGGCCCAAGATGGCGAAGCCAGTTTAGGCTGACTGATTCGTTGGAAGGGGTGACTGTCTTCCTCTGCCCCTGCCTTCCTATGGAGAGCCTTAGAGTCCAACCAGTTTGAAGTAAGAGGGGGAGAAGTTAGAGAAGAAGACATCCATCTGTTGCTGATCATTTGGAGAACAAGCCTAGCCAATGCATGCAGTGGCCTCAGAGGTCAGAAGAGGGCATTGGATTCTCTGGAACTGGAGTTACAGACAGTTGTTAGCTGCCATGTGGGTGCTGGGAAACCGAACCTGGGTCTTCTGCAAGAGCAATGAGTGCTCTTAACTGCTGAGCCATCTCTCCAGACCCCAAATAAATATTTTTAAAAATTAAAAAAAAATGCGGACACCTTAATGGCAATATATACTATATAAACAGCAGTACCATTTATGATAATCGTATAATTTTAGTTGTATTGGAAAGATTATTGGTCTGTGTGACTCTTTGATGGCCTGTAAACCTTGAGTTATCCATCTGTTCCTACTGGCTCCATACTGCACTGCAGAGGCCACATCTTGCTTGGGCTTTAAAACATTTTCCTTTTTTCTGATTCCTGTTTAATCCACAATATCACCTTTCTTCATTCTCTCTCTGACAAATTCTTCAATAGAACAGTCTTTACTTTCTACTCTTTCCCAGGCATCCTCAGATCTAGCTCTGGTCTCCATATGCCCATGGAAACTACGCTCTTGATTTACTGCCTCCTGGTACCCAAATCCACTGGCTTCTCACTCTTCATTTTACTTGAGCTGTAGTTAGTGAATGCCATTTAAAATTCCATGAAGCAATGGCAATAAAAACAATATGATCTGAACACAAGAATAGATACTTAGTGAAGCATAACTAAATCCAGAAATAATTTGGGGGCCATGTGTTAGATTAATGTAGAAAGTATTAGTTACTTAAAAAAAATGCATGACCAACTCTCTTGCATTTCCTTTCTTATTCTTTTCTTATTTACATTATCTGGGTGGTGCGTGTGTGTGTGTGTGTGTGTGTGTGTGTGTGTGCATGCACATCTGTGGCTGTGTCTATGCATGCCACAACATCCCTGCTGAGGTCAGAGGACAGCTTGCAGAGTCTGTTCTCTCCTTCCACCATGTGGAACCCAGGGATTGAACTCAGGTTGTCAGACTTGGCAGCAGACACCTTTACCCACTGAGCTATCTTGCTGACTCATATATTAATTACTTTTGCATCACTGGGAGCTTAATGTCTGACAGAAACAGCTTAAGGGAGAAGAGATTTATTTTGGCTCATAGGTTCAGATGTTTTTGGTCCATTATGGCAGAGAAGTCAGGGTGGTAGAAGCTTGTGGCACAGACTGTTCACAACATCAGAACCAGGGCTGGTGTAGCCTTGAGAAGCCTGCCCCAGCCATCTACTTCACCAGCTAGGTCCTGACTCCTAAGAGTTCTAGTCTCCCCAACATTGTGTTAGCTGGGGGACAAGGCTTTGCAACACGAGTCTGTGAGGGACTTTTCAAGTTCAAATCATAACCTAGGATAAAGGAAGACTTTCAAGGGAAAGAGAATCATCTAGTAACTGGTGTTGGGGGTGCATCATGAAGAAAATGGAATGGAGCCCTCCCTTTCATTTCACATACAAAAAATAACTCGCATGTGGACTGAAGATGGGAATGTGATAAAAGAAGAAAATCGGAGAATATAGTCATAAACTTGGGCAACGGGAGAATTCTTAAGCAAACCAGGAAACCAGGATTTATAAAGGAAAATAAAGACATAGTTGTCTCTCTACATTAAAAAATTTTGGCGGTATCAAAGATAACAAAAGACGGGCCAGCAAGATGGTTCAGTGGGTAGTGCTGTCTGCTGCCAACCCAATGACCTGAATGTAATCCCTGGAACCCAC